ATACATTGACAACTTACCAAATATACTGTTCACAAAGAATGGTTTTATTCATGCAAAAACTATGTATAGTTGCTGCAAGTTAAATTTTGTTCATACAAATAGTAAAGTTTTTTTTTTTACCAGACGGTATACATATATATTACGGTAAAAAGTTTCGCTTACGGCTTTTTCTGGAGTGTTTAAGTTAATTTGTGGACTTCTCGCTTGATGCTCCAACAATAGTCCAGGTGTACATCCCATTTACCTTGGTATTGTGCCTCCATAACCTTCAAATCTTGGTGGAATCGTTCACCCTGCTCATTACTGACTCCACCAAGATTTTTCGGAAGATTATAAAGCTGGATATTTAAAAAATGCAATCTGATGCTCAACTGCCAACCAAACATTTTAAATTTCCCCAACAGTTGGTGAACAATTTCGCGGCAATTTTGTGCTCGTGTATTTCCGAGAAAGTCTTTGACAACGTTCATGAATGTCAGTCAAGCATATTTTTGAAATTCTGTCATTGTTCCGATGAATTTTTTATCTTTAAGGAGCTGTCGAATCTGTGGACCATCAAACACACCGGCCTTTGTCTTCTCAAAGGACAGGATAGGAAAAACCGAAATGAGATATTTGAAACAATCTCCTTCAATTGTCAAAGCTTTAATAAATTGCTTCTAAGATTCAGTTTTATACATACAGGCGGAAATATGATGTTATATATGTCGACAAGTGGCTGATGTAAAATGTTTGGGACTCCCAGCTTTTAGGTCACATCTTGGGCGGCCAATACGACTGCACCTAATGTTTCTTACGAGCTCTACTCACCCACATATACAAAAAACAGAGCTAATTGGTGTATCTACGTTGCTAGCCAAGGTTTACATTATTACGGCAAAGCCTCGAGGGCTATCTGCCTAAGGGAAGTGATGCCTTCGTGGAGGAATTTCTAAGGGAAACTGGCTCTTATACACGGTACACATGGGGAAAACCGCGAAAACGCCCATGCAACCAGCCTGCTTGTAGAGTTTCGAACCTCAAACCGAACTACCAGTGTTCAGGGACTTTACCGCTCGGCCGCTAGTGTGACTGCTGGGCAAGGATTACTGGTCAAAGCAAACTAAATGGCCTATTGGGACTCACCAAATAAATATCCATTATGGAGGAGGACAACTTCAAGTTTCGCTTTGAGTTATAGATGAACAATCGTCATTGTGTTGCGTTATAGGCCGAAATTCCCAACTCTTCCATTAAACTATGTACATTATGACAGTACACAAATCCACATCAATTCGAAAGTATTGCAGAAACATACTTTTCTTGATCGAAAGTAGGATACCTTTTTCAAGCAAGTTTTACTCGTGCAGTCATAATGCTAACAACTCTGGAGCATTTTTGGATAGTCCCAAATCTCGTGCCAAATCACTCAGCTCATATTAGTCAAATCCCTTATGAACAGTCATCCTCAATTTCAGAATATTCGTTGGGCGCAATTTGAAATTCACTAGAATCGTATTCCTGTATTTCTAAAGAAGGTATTTCTTTGAAAACTGGCACTGGGAGTTCAGCTAAGTGGGGAACTGGTCGTATAGCTGCTGTTAAACTAGGTTACTCTATTTTACATTTATTTTGCTTGTTATATCCTGACGTGTTTTCTATATGAAAGTAACAAAATCAGTTGAGTAATCTTTGGGCTCTCGCCAAATTATAGGTATACCAAATGGAAATTTAGAACATATTCCTTTTCATCCACATCTGTAAAATCTCGACACACTACTTACAAACTTTTTGAGGGGCCCGTGATTTATCTTGATCACCAATTTTCGCTTTAAAATAGGCTAAATAGGTTTTCCTGAAAAATGTGCTGATGTTTGTCTTTTGACTTGGAATGGTAGAACTGCCATATATATAACGAAACGAATCGGGACTGTTTAAGAACTTACGGAGCGAACTAACAGAGGCAGACATAAGGAAAGGTTTCAGTTCGTAACTAAATAAAACTAGACCTTGTATACAAACAAGACTCCACGTCAGAATGCGCTTTACTATACTTGAGTGAAACACAACGTGTGACTACAGCATCTCAAGCGTAGCTGAACTAAAGTGAACCTGCCGCTGGTCTCTTACATTGTCATTGACTTGCAGGCATCAATCGGAGGGCTTATGTTAGCCATTAGGAGAGCATTAGTACTTCTATGATCCACGCTGGATACCGCGGAGAGCGGTCAGATTCACATAAAGTGCAGAGAAAAACTTGACGTTGAAGGAAAAAACTAACTACAGTTTTGAATCAGCATGCCCATTTAACTCTAAAACAGCTCAAAATCGAACTCAACAGAAATTGTATTACAAATTGTTCCCTAGTGATATCAGCGCTAATTGCAAAAAATATTTTTTTTGAAAGCTTTAAATGCTAAATGCAGTTAGGAGAAACATTTAATCGTGATTCTACTTTTTGATATAGCAATCGCTTTTTTAGCATAAAGTAAAGCCATTAATAATACAGTAAAAATACTGAATAAATAGCTAACTAATATATATATATATATATATCAATGATGTGTGCTTGAGAATAATTTGCTAACTATGAAATCAACTATTATTCCCATTAATATGAAGACAGTTAAACAAGCAGAAAACAGGAATAGCCTATATTATAATTACTAGAAAATACTACTAACAATTTACCTGTGCTTTGAAGTAGTTTAATTTCGATAATAGGTTCATTTCGTTAGGTAAGTTAAATCAGTATCAAAACAATAAGAACAAACAAGAAAAATGGGAGAACAACTATCATTAGAAATAAAGGAATTTAAATTATAAATGGACTATCTTTTTTCCCGTATGCAGTTTTCATGACACGATGGTTTGCAAGAGTAATTTTTCCATAATTCCTCGGTAAACAGAGAGCGATCAATCCACTGTCTGATTAATTGCTGGTTAACTTGTTATTACCAATAACACCTTTCCTCTAATTCCGAGTTCTTTGCTAAATATCCTTGCATTAATTCTATCTATTCAGCATTTTGCGGGTTTAAACTAGCTTTTTTTATCCATTAAAAAAGAGAAAATATGTAAATAAAAATGCGTCGTTATATATTACAGAATATATTACATTTTGCAAATATAATATATTCTGCGGCTCCTTAATGCTATTATAGTATTTTGTTGCCCCTTTAGTTTTTAAAAATTTTGCGATTGTTATACCAACCAACTTGAGTTCATTTTAATATTTGGGAAGAATACTAATCCCGTTTAAATAATTCAAAGTATTTATGCAATTTTGTATTTACTGTACAAATTTAAAGAATTCGTGAGGGAATACATTAAGTTCCTTTAATTTGGTCTTTATTTTTATCCTTTAATTTTATTACAACAATTTTTTTATGGACTGAAAATGCATTGTAGTTTAACTAACATAATTGCATTATGGAGGTACACGTTTAATAATGTGTTATAAGCTCTAGGCAAAATGGTTCTCGTCACTTAATTACGGAAAAATATTGTTTTGTTTTCTCGGTCTTTAATTTAGTAATAATTATTTCAGTGTAAATAAAAACAAAGCAAGCTTAATCACATTTTATCATGAAACGTTTTCTAATTAATTTAGGTATTAAAAAAACTTTCTTTCGAGAAGCTCGAACGAATATTTAAAATGACATCAATTAACGGTGACTTTTACAGAGTGCCAATTAAGTGAAGTATGTAACTTGTGCTGATTACGTTAAGTTCTTATAAGGATTTGTTTAAAGATACATTTATTAGCTTTAAATTTAGAACAATCAGTTTTATTTGAAGTTGCCATTTTGCAGGTTTCTTCTGTACTCTGACAGATGAATTCTTAATGATCTCTCATTTTAGGTGAGGAGGTTGAAGTTAATATTTAATTATTTGCTATCTATGCATACGTCTGGGTTACAGATGCAGGTGATGATAAAGGCTAAAGTTGACTTATTCTTGCAGTGAAGAATAAATGACTATGTTTCACCATTGAAAAAGTTATTACAGTTCACGAATAATAAATTTACTTTAGTTTAGTAATTTTCGTCACAACATAAATCAGACTAAAGTCTGAAGAAAGAATTAGGCACATAAATCACAAAATATCCATCAGTACTATCGTTTGTTAAAATAAAGTTTAATTTCTGAAATCAATTAAACTATTAAAAAGAATATTTTATCAAAGATCATTCATGACAATTTTATTATTTCTTATTCGGGTAGTTTGGTTAAACTCATGTCATCTAATCTATTAATATGTAAGCAGTCTAAAATTAGGGAAAAGAACGATCGTCCTTCTTCTTCGGGACAAAAAAAAAAAAAAAAAAAAAAAAAAAAAAAAAAAAAAAGTATGCAAGATGGAAGGAGCGTATTTATATCGAAAGCAATAGATGGAGTAAATTTAACACGAACGTAGCGCCATTTGTCGTGGAAAATAACAGTGCAACGTGATAATTTAAGTTATATCTTGTCAGTGTGGTTCGACATATATCGGCCACATTAAAAAAAGCATTCAAATTCTCTAAAAAGAGCATGAATCTTATGTCAGAAAAGGAGAAGTAAAAAAATTCTTCGGTAGCTAATTATGGTTGGACACTTAATCACAATTTTGATTACCTTTCAGCCAAAATTATCCATAAAACTTTTCCAGTCGGCGAATTGGATTTTTTAAGCTTTTCACATTCATAAAAACTTACTTTCTTTAATAATTGATATTAATTCTAATCTAGTCTTCTAATATCTGAATTTTTCACATTTCTCTGCTATTTTCGAAGGCAGATGGCGCTACTTTTCTGTTCCCTTTGTTTCGTCCATTGCTTTCGATATAAGTACAGTCGTCGTTCTTCCAATGTTGCAATTTGAAAAAGCGGCAATTTCCTATTGAGAAGGCTAAGCAATTTCGAAGAGGAAGATCAAAGAATTTCGAGAAGCTTCCCATTTTCCTGCTCGAGCTAAAGAAGAATCAAGCAGGCTATGCAATTTTTAATTTGAACAATGTGTTAAATTTCAACATCAAGGTTGAGAGGTATAATCAGAAAAAGAGGCCAATACAGTGCTACAGGTGTCAGGAGTGGGGTTACTCTCAGCACCTGTGCACTAACCCAGAGCGATGTTGCAAGTGTGCCAATTCTCACAGGAGTAAGGAATGCCCTCTCAGACAAGATGAAGCACCCACCTGCATTTATTGTCGAGAAAATCATGTCAACAGTTATCGTGGTTGTGGTTATTACAGAAGGAAATTTGAGAAGAAAACAGAGAAGAAGCCCACCGCTAATCCTAATGAGTACGTAAAGATTGATGATGACTTTCCCATACTCCCAAGTAAAGCACCGGTAACACCGAGAAGGAAAATAGCTCTTCCTCGCGATGAGAAAGTCAAGGTATTTATCCAACCTCCCCCAGATGATCTTCGAGAAGCAGTAAGTTGGCTGAGAGATTATAAAGTTAGCAGTTTCCTGCGAAGCATGATTGATCACACTGCGAAAATTCTTGCTGCAAAGTCTGCTGCCGAAAAACTAATGGAAGAGTTGGGGCTTAGAGCAGCGATGATGCTTGTGAAGTTTGCGGATGATAAAAATTAAGGACTAATTCTGTGCATTTTAGTAGGACATTTTCATTATTACGATTGCTTATGTGAGTATCGTTTGCTTCATTTTATTGTTGCAAACAGCGTAAATTTTCTTTTGTTTTTCTTCCTTTAGTTTTGAACTTTATGTATGGCAACAAGATAATTGATTGATAGAATTGTGTTTGTGACAGCCATGTAAAATGGCTCGCTTATTTTGTATCAATTATTTCGCATCGCTGACATTTTATTTATAATTAGTGTAATGAAATAAAAGTAAAGGAATACAGTCCATTTGTTGATTGATTATTGTTTGTGAAACATATTAAGTAAAGAACATTTATTGTTGGTCAAAAGTCTAGCCGGAGAGCTAGTGAAGATAGTGACTGTTCTAAGTGTATTCTAACAACGCAAATATGCATATGGTTGGTAAAACATTACTCCACTTTGTGAGGTAAGTGGATTTTGAACAAAAATTCGTTTAATTTGTTGTTAAATTTTAAGAACAATGTTGTAATACAGCATAGAATTCGATTTCATTTTAATAATAGTGTTAAGTGATTTAAGAACAATTTCTGTTTTTGAATTGATCAATTATGAGTGAACTTATCACTTTTAAAACAAAAAGAGCGGTCTTACGCAGGAGTGTTACTAATTATGTAAAGAAAATTGAAACTATTTTAACTGCAGATGAAATTAATTTAATAGAACTAGAGGAATGTGTTGAATTATTGACACAAAAGGAAACTGAGTTAAGGAAGCTTGATTCTGAAATCGAAAGTTTAATTACAGATACTAAAGAATTAGAAAACGAAATAGATAATGTTCAGGAGTACACAGATAAAATTTATTTGTGGAAATTTAAAGGTGAAAAAATATTAAAACATCAAAATAGTAAAAATAATTCTAATAGTGTAATTTCAGAACAGGTTCTTGACAATATAAAATTACCCAAGTTAACATTACCGACTTTTGGTGGTAATATTACAGAATGGATAGCTTTTAAAGATCTTTTCAGTGCTTGTGTAAGAAATAATACAAATTTATCTAATGCTCAAAAATTGCAGTATTTGAAGTCTTCTTTGAAAGGTGAAGCATATCGCATTATTCAAACCATTCAAATTTCGGATTGTAATTTTAAAATAGCATGGAATCTGTTATACGAAAGATATTCAAATAAGAGAGAACAAATTTTTGCATATATTAAACGTTTTCTAAGCTTACCAACTATTCAAAATGAATCAGCATTTGCTATTTTAAATTTAGTCGACAATATTAATGAAGTAATTGGTTCTTTAGAAGTATTGAATCAAAGCATTGATAATTTTGGTGACACTTTAATGACTTATTTAATTTTGCAAAAATTAGACCCTTGCTACAAAATTATGGTGGGAACGTCAGTTAAAATCTAATGATATTCCAAAACTTACGACTTTAAATTGAATTCCTAAAAAACTATGCAAGAACACTTCAAAATAGCAAATCAAGCAAGTAATAAGGTACCTAAATCTGTGTTTCAAAATAAGAATAATGTTCTGGTTGCTACTTTTTGGTTGTGGTTATTGTAAAGAAGATCATAGTTTAGCCAAATGTTCGAAATTTCTAAATTTATCGGTTCAGCAAAGGATAGAATTTGTAAAATCTAATCGTTACTGTTTTAATTGTTTATCTAATATGCACTTGCTCAAAAAATGCAAGAGTTTAAATACATGTCAACATTGCTTTAAGAAGCATCACAGTATTTTGCACATTGTAAATAATTCAAAGAATAAAACTCAGTTAAACAGTATATCTCCGCCTACGCAATCTATCCCTAAAAGAGATGAATTAACGAGTCCTAAGGATGTTTCAGCCACAGTTTGTGCCTCTCATTATGATTCGAGTGCAAAAGTTAATCAAACCAGTCACATTTTATTGTGTACTGCTTTAATAAAAGTTCAAAATTCTGAACAACAGTTTGTGAAGTGTAGATGTTTATGTGACACTGGATCTCAGAGATCATTTATTTCAAGGGATTGTGTGAAGAAATTAGGATTACGAGTGAAAGATAATTCCATTTCTGTATCATGTCTAGGAGAATTTAATACTATAAGTAATGGGGAAGTCGATTTAGTATTCACTTCTCATTTTAAAAGTGATATTCGTGTATCAACATCAGCGTTTGTACTGGACAATGATACATCAGCGTTTGTACTGGACAAGATAACATTCCCTATGTATCTTTGCCATCAATCATCTTCGATAACTTCAGTGATTTACAATTAGCTGATCCATTATTTTACAAGTCACAACCAGTTGACATTTTATTTGGAGTAAATGTATTTCTGCATTTAATGACGGAGAAATTGTCAAACGTGGTCCTGATCTACCATTTGCTCTAAATTCGAGGTTGGGATGGATAATTTCGGGTACTACAAATTTTGAATCTACAAATTTTGAGCCAGTATATGTAAATCATTTGAATACAAACACAGATGAGTTAGTAAATTCTTTCTGGGAGTTAGAAAAGTTTCCAAATGTACAACCTTTAACAAATGAAGAAAAACTTTGTGAAGAACATTTTAAAAAACTCGCATTTTAGAGACACATCAGGTCGTTATTCAGTTGCATTACCATTCAAACATAATAGAGATATTCTAGGTGACTCCCGTGAAATGGCGTACAGAAGATTTCAATACTTGGAGAAGAGGCTGTTATCTATGAAAGAAATTTACAACCAGTATATTCAGTTTATGAAAGAGTACTTTTCACTAGAACACGTAGAATTAGTGCCAGACACAGATTATGAATTAGAGAATAAACACTATTATATCCCACATCACTTCGTGTTGAAGGACTCTAGCTTAACAACAAAATTGAGAGTTGTTTTTCGATGCGAGTGCTAAAACAACCACAGGTGTTTCTTTAAATGATACGCTAATGATAGGCCCAAAAATACAAGATGACTTAATTTGTATTTTACTAAGATTTAGACTTCATAACATTGCAATAACCGCTGATATTAAAATGATGTACAGACAGATAAAGGTTCATGAAAAATATAGAGATTTTCAGAGAATATTATGGAGAGATAGCCCGTATAAACAAATACAAGTTTGTCATTTGAAAACAGTTACATATGGAACTGCAGCTGCTCCATATCTTGCAACCAAAGTTTTGAGTCAGTTAGCGATTGATCAAGGATTGAACTTTCCAAAGGCAAAGAATATAGTTTTAAGAGATTTTTATGTTGATGATATGTTAACTGGTGTAAAAGATAGTTCGGAAGGTATTGCATTGATAGACGAATTGCAACAACTGCTAAAAAGTGGTGGCTTTGAGCTTCACAAATGGTCGACAAGTGAACCGTCGTTGTTAAAAACCTCTGGCTTAACAAACACAGATAGTGACAATATTCATCGTGTAATAGAAGACAAAACATTGAAAGTTCTGGGATTGGAATGGCATCCGGACAATGATGAATTCAAATGTAATGTCGGTGTAATAGAGTATCAAAGTGTTCCGACTAAAAGGATTATTTTGTCATTCGTAGCAAAACTATTCGATCCATTGAGGTATATAGCTCCGTTTGTAATTCTCGCTAAAATGATCCTTCAGCAATTGTGGAAATTACAATTATCATGGGATGATCTTGTAACAGAAGAGATTGATCGAAATTGGAGAAATCTATGTAGAGAAGTTAAACTTTTGAATTCTATAAAATATACCTAGGAAAATTCTGCTACCTGATTATTTTCGATGTGAACTTCACGGATTTTGTGATGCGTCTGAAAGGGGTTATGCAGCAGTTATTTATATCAAAACTTGCAATAACTCTGACATTAATGTTAAACTTGTAACAGCTAAAAAACTCGTGTAGCACCATTAAAATCTATTACGATTCCAAGACTGGAATTATGTGCAGCAGTGTTATTGTCACGCTTGATTCAGTCTGTAAAAGCTGCATTAGTCATAAATTTTGATTTAGTGCAAGCTTGGAGTGATTCACAAATCGTGTTGTCATGGTTAAGGTCAGATCCTAAAAAATGGCAAGTATTCGTATCCAATAGAGTTTCTGAAATACAATCCATCTTACCACCTGAGAACTGGAGTCATGTTGATGGAAAGGAAAATCCAGCTGATTGTGCTTCACGTGGGTTATTTCCTGCAGAACTATTATCTCATCAAATGTGGTGGAATGGTCCTTCTTGGTTAAAGTGCAGTGAGATTGCCTTGTCTAAAAATATTCTTATAGATGAAGAGGCATTACCAGATGCACGTAAAACAGTCTCATTTGTAGTTTCTGAACCTGTACAGGAACTTGCTATTATATCAAATATATCTTCATTTCCAAAGTTACAACGCATATTTGCTTGGATATTAAGATTCATATCGAATTCTAAAGTAGCAAATCTAGAAAGAAATACGTCTTTTTTTATCTAGTAATGAAATTCGAGCTGCAACTTTCTGTATTGTCCGAATAATACAGCGATTTCACTTTTTTAAAGAAATTCAATGTTTGGAGTTGGGAAAGGACTTACCTACAAACAGCAACCTCCTTAGCTTGTGTCCAATTTTAGATGACAACAAAGTGTTTGTAGGAGGAAGACTGAAAAATGCGCAACTATCAGAAAATGAAAAACATCCAATCTTATTACCTTCAAAACACAATCTGACAGAAATCATAATTAGACACTTTCATGTCAAATATCTGCATGCAGCACCAGAACTTCTTCTATCTTTAATTAGACAACTATTTTGGATCACAGCTGCTAGATCTGCTATCCGAAAAGTAGTAAGATCTTGTATCACGTGTTTGCAAACTTAGAGCTAAAACTGCAAGTCAAATAATGGCTGATCTACCGGAATCTAGAGTAACACAATCGCGACCATTTCATCGAACTGGAATAGATTTTTCTGGACCGTTCATGATTAAACATCGTGCAGGACGTGGACAAAAATCATTTAAATATTAACGTATGCTTATTTGTGTGTTTTGTAATCAAGGCAGTACATCTTCAAGTGGTAGAAGATTTG